CCCAACTGGCGCTGGGGATCGAGCCTGCAACCAAGGTACATGCCCTTGACTGGAATTGAACCCAGAACCTTTCAGTTCTCGGGCCGACACTCTATCCACTGAGCCAAACCAGCTAGGGAAAACCGAATATTCTTGAAAGCGTTGGTCCAGCTGTCCTGAGGCTTCTCTCATCACTCGAAGTGCTCTGCTGCAGTCTACACTGTTAAGGAAAAAGGGTGTCCAACAAGGGTTAGTCAAAGCCTGGGCATGGTTTTGGTTATAGGTTCAGAGGCCTCCATATCCCATTTTTTGCTGGTTCTAATGGCTCGCTCAGGGGTGGAAACATGCCTGCGACAGGCTCATTGTGGTTGTGGGGGCTGGAAGAATAACAAGATATCAGTTTGCAAGGTGTGTTTAGAAGATAATATTCAATTCCTATGCAGCCAAGGTCCTAGATTTGTCTTCCTTATGATGCTCAGGGTAGCAGCACTGAGACACACCCTTATGGAGCTTATACCCGAGCCTCAAGGCTTATCTTTCAAAGATAACAAAGGGTGACATTGGTAGCCAGGGCACAGGCTGGAAAGATGATGTCACTGGGGTTGAAGCAGTCCGCAAGGGCATTCCAGGCCAAGGGGACAGCAGAGGACAAGTGCCAAGAGTAAATGAATGATGACCACGGGCCCAGCTACCTCCTAGACCTAGTCCATGGGCTGCCTGGTGGGGAGGACGGGCTGGAAATCAGTCACCATCACAACACAGAAAACTACAGGATGTGTACAACCCTGGGATGGCGTTTCCTGTTTATTGGAGATTGGATGGGAAAGTAAATGAAGACTAAAGGTTAAGAATAAAAGGACCTTTCACTTGTGTTAGGCCTCATATCACACAATTCTAATACAATATTAATAAATTCAATGATTTTATAGCTTTACCATTTGAAATTTATTTGTTTCTGCAACGATACAAAATTACATCAAGTGGCATTCACAGAAGCTCAGTAAAACATTAGATACTGAAAAATACTTATCATTAGACCAAATAAGCTTTAAAAATAATTATAGTTAAGTTATAAAAGCTGAAAATATAAAACACTGCAAAACAGTGGCAATCTACTAAGTAGATAAACAAAGAAGGGAAACAACATCAACCATTTAACACGGCAGATTTTGGAATTCAAGGAATATCTATCATATATACACATCAGTGTGAGGAGGCTGGCTTTGATGGCAGCTTAAAACTACATAGTTCAGACTCAACCTTTTAACAGAAGAGTTTGGGATAGTTAGGAAATTTACATGTGGCTTGTGGAACTAGCTAAGTTGAGATTCAGTCTTGGCTCTGGATAGACACTTAAAACTGAAAATCTCTTCCCAGGATCCTTAAGCCAGGCCACGCCAAACAACCTTCCCAGCAAGTTTTCAGAAAACTAAGCTCCGGGGAAGGCAGGGCTCCCATGCAGAACTAGAAGGATTGACATAGCACACTCTTCCCAGTTCATATGATTCAGCATGTTCAAGCATGCTAGCTTTCATCACACACGAGGCACTGGGTATCGAGTTACCCTGTAGAAACAAAGGACAGGCTTCCATTTTTTAATTTAAATGACATGAATTGGAGAACAAAACGAGAATCACCACAGGTAATTTTAGAGGTTTAGAATTCTATTGCCAAATATTTCTTTAAAAGCCATCATGGGAAGCCCAGCTGGCATGGCTCAGTTGTTGAGCGTGGACCTATGAACCAGGAGGTCATGGTTTGATTGCCGGTCAGGGCACATGCTCGGGTTGGCTCAATCCTCCCCAGTATGGGGCCCGCAGGAGGCAGCCGATCAATGATTCTCTCTCATAATTGATGTTTCTCTCTCTCCTCCCTTCCTCTCTGAAATCAATAAAAAAAATACATATTTTAAAAAGCCATCATGTGAAAAGAAATGTCAAAGTATATATAACTAATTGTCAGGTCGTTCCAAGTTGTCTTAGCCTTCTGAGATAAGACTGGCCTTCCATTGCCCTGGCTGGGTAACTCAGTTGGTTAGAGCATTGTCCCCACACACCGAGGTTGCCGGTTCAATCCCCAGTCAGGGACATACAAGAATCAACCAATGGATGGATAAGTAAGTCGAACAACAAATTGATGTTCTCACAATCTCTCTCCTTTCCTCTCTCTCAAAAATAATTTAAAGACTGGCCTTTCACTCCCTCAGAGCCCAGAAATGGACTCTTTAAATATTCTACTCAGTAATCTATCAGGAAAACAAGTTCCTCTATTACATCCATGACTAAAGCATAGATGCCTCCAAATAGAAATCACCCTTCAACCAGAGGCTGGGGCAGGAAAGGAAGCACGCAGCTGCCTAGAGGGGTGCCTCTTGGCTCCCTGTACCTCATTGCCTGACCCCACCCCGGCTTGAGAGATGCCTCAGCCAGCTCGCCCTCATCCACAGAATCTCTAAGAAAACATGCTTCAAGTAATCTCAAAAAGACAACTGCCCAGATAACAAGTTTTCCTTTGGTGTGAGAGATTTCCTTCAGTGCAATTTTTAAAGTGAAACTTAAATTCTATACTCTCACCACAAGAAATGATATTTCTCAGACTCAAAAAGTGGAACTGTGTGGAATCCACAATACTACCCACCTTTCTTTCTGCCCTCCTCTTTATGGGACAGCAACCAAAAAAGCTGTGTGAGGCCTCAGTTAAGTCGCAGCCAGATGTCCTAACAAAGAAAACTTTTGCAAGAACTCCTGAAGTACTGAGGAATGTCACTCTGCTAGGCAGATGAAACTGTAGTTTGGTTTTCTTGGGGAGACCAGAGACATCAGATACTGACTGCCCTGCTTTGCTAAAGTTCCAAAATCTGTGATTGCCATTATTAAGAGCTACTAAAGTAGAAGAGGAAGAGTCCATCCCAGGTTGGGGAAGTTAGGAAGGTACACAGAAAAACCTGAGCTGGGCCCTGAGGAAACAAATTTTGGGGAAGGGAAAGAGGAGAGCAACTATGGGAAGCCAGGGAATGGAGGACACCGCAAGAACAAAAAAGCACAGAGGCCAGTAGGGCACCCAACAATAGGGGCTTTTGGCCTGGCTAGACTGTAGAGAAAGACAGGCAGGGCAGTGCCCATCTGCAAAGTCCTGAATACGAAAGAGCCTATAAACTTGCCTCTAAGCCATGAGGGACACAGACGGAAGCTTCAGATCAGGGCAAGTGTTTTAGAAAGGTCAATCTGGTCTCTATGCACCAAGAGAAGATGGACAGGAAAAGCAATAAAGGTGGCTCCTGAAAAAGAGATCCGGGAGAGAGGTGGAATGGGTGTGGGACAGGGAAGCAAGGAAAATGGAAAGAAAGATTGCAGCTGGAGACATTTTTTTTTAAAAAAAGCATAGGACTTTTGTGACAAGAGATAAAAATGGTATAAGTTTGTAGTTTGTAGTTGAGAGGATTAAAGAAATTGGGCAGTTGAAAGGGACAGTGTAATCAGTAGAAAAAATTCAGTTAGAATTTTTAGGACAACCATGCTGAAAAGAGCACACAACAGGACTGTTTCTTTGGGAACTATGCCAAGGATAAAGACCTGGGAATGAAGAATGAATGAATTTCTGAGGAGACAAAGGAGTTTTTTTGTTAAAAATTTGTTGTTAATCCTCACCTGAGGATATTTTTCCATTGATTTTTTGAGAGTGGAAAGGAGGGGGAGAGACAGAGAGAAACATTGATGAGACACATTGATTGGTTGCTTCCCACACATGACCCGACCAGGGCTAGGGACTGAGCTGGCAACTGAGCTATGTACCCTGGACCAGAATCAAACCCGGGACCCTTCAGTCCGAGGGCTGACGCTCTATCCACTGACCCAAACCGGCTAGGGTGACAAAGGAGTTCTTGACATAAGGACACTTTGTCAAAGAAACCAAGAGGGGAATTTCTATTTGGATGGTCAACAGTGTCCAATTCTATCAAGATCAAGACTAAGTTTTGAGAACAAGCCATTGGATTTAATGATCTGAAACTATGGAACAACACTTAGTAGAAAGACAGGGACCAAAGTGAGCTTGTAAAGGTTATGAAGAGAGTGAATGACAAAGTAATGGAAGCAACACTTACTGAAGAAGTTGAAGAGCAGACTGAATAACAAATAGGATGGATGGGGGCTGGGGGGGATTGTGTAAGCATGAAGGTTGGAGAAAAAGTGTTAGTGTAGATAGGCTGAAATAGAAAACATTAGAGGAGGGAAGGCAGGGACAGGGGAGCCAGAAAAGGGAATATAATAACCAAGGTCTTAGGGAATGCTAGGGGAGCCTGATAGAAGATGCCTCAGATTGGAGGAAAGTATTATAAGACTGGTGCACAAGTAAAGAAACGATGACAAGAAGAGCATTCATTCATTCTTGATCTCCACAAACAGGTTCCTGCAATGAATGAAAACCTCAACTGGAAGCCATGCACTGTTCTAAGCAAGGTGGATGATGATAATATGACAAACACGTGGTCCCTTCTTTAGACTTACTTCTTCCATAGCACAGAATTCGTCATATTCTCCTCACTTCCCACATCTTTTGTATTTCTTGAGATCGGTTATTCTATTTCAGTTTTTCCTTTGCAGAAACAACTCTTCAGGCTCTCTATAATAGGATAACATGACTAGAGCTACATAAAACTTCAAACAGTGTGACCTAAGACACTACTCTCAGTTACCCCAGGGGAACTCTGTGAATTTCTTAAATTTTAATAACCCTTCCCATGGGATAGACGTTTTACTAACTACCCTTACTTAGCATTTTATATTAGATGAGAGGACCATTAATTAGGTTAAGGTAAAAGAAAGAGCCTGGTTAGTTTCTAAATATGTCTGTTTTGTCTGTTTTAGGCAACAGAGGCAAAATAGAGTTTGTGGGGAACCTATTTCATAAAAGGTCTTTGAAAAAAATGCAAACCCAAACCAGAACCCTCCTATTTGTTTTCTTGCACATGAACTTACTCTATTTCAAAAAGTTCCTGTTACGGTTATAAGAAAAAACAGTGCTTCAATAATCACAACTTTATTTCTAAAAATCTGCAATGGGAACAGTGGCTTTACAGCTCTACTCCCAGAAGCCCCAAGTTCAGTTTTATACTCAGTACAACCAAATGGAAGCTGACTCACTTTGTCTTACATAATATGAAAATGTGCTAGATGGGTTGAACCTGCAGGCAGTAAAGCATTTTTTTAAGCTATTGTTTTGGTTTACTGCTGAAGCATTTGAAAAGAATTATGTGTTCAATGTAGCTTTTTGCCCATCAGCATTCACCTTGTAGATCTCGTGTAGGGCACAGCCCCTAAAGTAAGAGGCCCTGGTGGAAAGTACCTCAAGCAGCTGAGTTTTCTCCTAGGTCTGCAAAAATAAATAGTGGCGAGTGCAATGCTACTTTCTAGGGGTAATTTCACGATAGAGCCGAGGCCCAAGGCGCCCAGGGCGGTCAGCAGCACTAGCCCGCCAGGGGCTGGGATCTCCATTTGGTCAAAACTGGGTTCCCACCTGCTCGCTCCTTCTACTCATACTAAGACGGGGAAAGGATGGAAGACACCAGCGTAAATAATGGGAACAAAGGAGCACAGGGTCACTAAAGTGCCGGTGCAAAAACCAAAGCCATGCTCCCCACCCCCCCATGTCTGCCAGCCCGGACTTGCCACCAAACCCTAGAGGGTATCTCTTAGTTCACAGTACTTTTATCTTCATTTATCTTGATTTAGAAACAAATCAGCAGGGAGGACGAGGTTCTCAAAAACAGAAAGATCAAATCTGAAACGAGAGTAACACAATGCATTGGTGATGTTCACCTTCTTCCAGAGGAATATAACTTACTGCTATGATTTTGGGGGTAAAAAAGATCTTAAGAGTTGCAACTCAAAGAAAAAAAAATCCAGAATTAAGACAAACTGACCCTCCACCATACAAACAGTAACTGATAAAATAAAAGCACGCAAAATTATTTAAAAATTCATTTTGAAATAAAACATACACTAGATGCCCAGCCAGCATGGCTCAGGTGGTTGAGCGCTGACCTATGAACCAGGAGGTCACAGTTCGATTCTCAGCCAGGGCACATGCCTGGGCTGTGGGCTCCATCCCCAGCGGGGGCGTGCAGGAGGCAGCTGATCAATGATTGTCTCTCATTATTGATGTTTCTATCTCTCTCTCCCTCTCCCTTCCTCTCTGAAATTAATAAAAATATATTTTTAAAAAAACATGTAAAAAAACCCATACACTAGAGAGATCCACACTTAGTGGAGGGAATATGGGAAGCTTAGCTTCTGCTTTGTAGCATTCTGTATTCTGAATTGTTTACATGTGCATTTTTTAAATCAGAAAAAGATTATAATGAACAGGAATGACAATCCTTAAAATCGATTATCTGAAAAGGTACTTGGCCAGGGTTATATTGTGAAGCTGATCTACTGGGCCAGTCAGCAAGATGTTTTGAGCTGAGTGGCCTATTCTGTAGCTGGTATGAGCTGTACACATGAACTGTGTTCCCTGTAGGAGTCTGGGAACAACTCCCAGTTGGGCCGCCAGCAACTCTTCACCCTGCCCTTGCTGAGCTGCAGACGGGTGCATGCTGGCAGCAAGGCTGTGGAAGTACACTGAGCTCAGACAGGCTGCCTTTGGGGAGAACCTTACTCAGCTCCTGCTGCTGTGGGTGGAAGGAGGGCTTTGCTTTCTGGCAGAGGCACGGGTTGGCTGCATTCAGGAAATCTAGTCAACAATGCTTAGCAGGGCTGATCTGGGAAGTTGGAGGCCTGTTTCTGAACTCGTTTATTTCTAGGGAGTGTAGTCTAGAGTTTTGCTCCCTAACATGTGGTCCCAGCAGCATTTGGCGTCACCTAGGAACCTCCTAGAAATGTAGAAGCACAGGCTCCACCCCACAGCTAGTGAATCAGATTTTGCTTTCTATCACAATGCCTATGAAAATTTGTGAAGTGCTGGTGTAGCACAAAAAGCACAGGATGGAAGCCTAGGGCGTTCCCATCAGGTCTTGATTTTGCCATGAACTTGAGGTGGGAATTTAAGTGGGGGGTAAATCATGACCTCTGGGCCTGAGTTTACTCATCTGTCAAGGGAGGGAGCTGTTGTAACATACTTAAAGCTCTCTTCAGCTCTAACACTATAGACATGTATACATGATGTCTCTACTTAGTGATCTGAAAAGGGCAGGGGTAATGGTGGCAGCACCCCAGAACCAGCTGCTGCATCTGAGCCAAATGCCAGCCCACTGCTGTGCCCAGCTGAGACTGCATAGCCCTCCCATGGACCTGGGTTTTCCTTCCTTACCTTCTGGTCCAAAAGCTGGTAGTCACTGGCCTTAGGCCGCCGAGTAAGTTTGGATTTTTTTCCTTCCAGGGCAAAAGCAATAATCTGGGGAAAGGAAAAAAAAAAAAGATTAACAACTGAATCTATAATGACATATTTCAGTTTTTGAAATTAGAGGTAATCACCTGGTAGTACATTTGTTAATAACCTGACAGTAAAAAGAGCAGTACACCCACAAAGAGGCCTATCTATATATATAAAACCCTAATATGCAAACAGACCAAACGGTGGAAAACCGAATAACCAAACAACCGGTCACTATGACATGCGCTGACTACCAGGGGGCACGCGAGGAACATGGCGGGCATCAGCCGTGGCGGGATGGTGGAGCAGGAGAGGGGGGTGCCAGACCAAGGCGGGGCACCGGTCACTGTCATCAGAGCAAGCCTCTGGTGGTTACTGAAAATTCTTTGCTCCCGTGCACTATGGTCCCACCTGGCACTCGCACCTGCTGCCAGCACTGGCCTGGCTCACACCTGCAGCTGGCGCTGGAGCCACCACTAGCACCCACTGCCAGCACCCAGCGCCAGCCCCAATCGCTCAGGAGCAGGGGGAGGTGGAGAAGCCCTCAGGAACGATCAGGGCCAGCAGCTGCTGCTCACACCCGCTGCTGGTGCCGGCCCCAATCTCTCTGCGCCGTCAGCAGGTGTGAGTGGGGCTAGCGCCATCAGAGCATGGGTCGGTGGTGGCAGCTGCCCGCAGACAGGGGATGGGGAGGGGAGGCCACGGCGGGAGGGACCGGGAGGGGGCGTGGAGAATGGGCCGACACCCGCTCCTGTGCTCACTGCAGCCTCACGGCCCACAGTTCCTTTCAAGGTGCATGAATTCGTGCACTGGTTTAAATTATAACAATTTTAAGAACAGGGCTTAGTTCCATTACAATCCTGTGTACTGCTAAATCAGCAATGACAGAGGGAGGAAAGCTGTTCTGGGCTCTAGTTTGCGGCAGTCTGCTAATTTACTCAAGAATACTCAAAGATCTGACAACTCCTCCCTGGAGAGCTGTAGGCTAAGACATTTCTTTTCTTTCCTTTTTTTTTTTTTTTTTTTTTCCTTTTTTTTTTTTTTTAAAAGAAAACAAACAAATCATAATTATTTTTTTCTGCAAATGCACTCTTTCACTCCACACTTTGCCTCATCTTAACTTTACACTCATTTCATGCCTAAGGTTACTCTCCATGATGTTGAATGTAGAATAAGAATGCACCATTTTAACTAAATGAGTCCATTTCTTATAGCCACAGGCCTTATGGCCATCATGAATTGAACTCTCCAATTTTGACCAGGCTACAGAAACTACTAAATTCTTAGAGTTCAATAAGAAATGTAATTATTTTGTCACTGGAGTGATTACTAAGTGACACAGATACTACTTCACACCAAACCTTGCTAAAGAAATAAAAGATGAGTATACCTATGCAATTTTTGTTCTTTCTTCTAATCAGAAGTTCAACTGACTACAAAGATAATCCCTGGGCTCTCTGCTGTTGATGTCAAAGATTATATAACCATTCTTTCTGCCATTGTAGGGGGAAGACAAAAACATAGCAAAGGAAGCTAGAAATGATGCACTGAAAGTGGAAACAGGAAGATAAGTGCTCTAACTACTTACAAACTGTCAGGTACTCAGGTCCTCTGAGGCTGTGAAGGATCTAAGTTCAAGATTACAGGAGACCCCAAAGCAGGTCAGATCGTAATAACATCCTAACTTGGCACCTAATACAGCAGCAGAGAGCACTTAGAGGAAACAGTCATGAAAACAAATGATTTATAAAACAAGAGTAGAGCCCTAGCAGGTTCTGGAAAAAAACACCTGACATGTCATAAAATACCCAGTGCTCACAGGCAGGTAAGTGATGAGTACCGGCCCATACACCAAGCTTTCAGGGTGAAAGACATCCCATGCCTCCTCTTAAGCTAACTGTTGACTTACCTTCCGCTTGTTGTGATAGGCAATATAGAGAACAGCAACAAGAATGGCTGCAGTCACCAGATATGCAAAGAAGTGACTGCTCTCCGCACTTCCAAGATTGTCCTTATAAAGGTCATCCTTCTTCCTATTTATGGAATCCAAAAGTGTCCCTTCAAGGTTCTCTCCAGAGGCAGGGCCAGGCATTTCCTTCTCTTCTTTGGGTGGAGAGCCCCCTTCAGGTTCAGAACTGTCTTCCGTGGACAGGTGGTCCTTATCCGACTTGTCAGGACTGTTTCCCGTGGACTGGTGGTCCTTATCCGACTTGTCAGGACTGTTTCCCGTGGACTGGTGCTCCTTATCTGACTTGTCAGGACTGTTTCCCGTGGACTGGTGCTCCTTAACCAAGTTGCCAGGACTTTTTCCCGTGGACTCGTGCTCCTTAACCAAGTTGCCAGGACTTTTTCCCGTGGACTCGTGCTCCTTAACCAACCTGTCAGGACTGTTTTCTGTGGACTGGTGCTCCTTATTCAACTTGCCAGGACTGTTTCCCGTGGACTTGTGGTCCTCATTTGACTTGCCAGGACTGTTTCCCGTGAACTGGTGGCCCTCATTTGACTGGTTTGAGTTGTCTCCTGTGGAGTCTTGCTGTGAGTCTGACCCAGCAGAGCTGACAGCCATGAGCTGTGTCGGAGCCTGTGAATCATTCTGAGGCAGGAGGCTGGGGGAGAACTGGGTGGAGACTCTTTCTGTAGTCGTTATGTTCTTCTGAGTGGGTGACGGAGAAGTGGGCTCCCTGTCTTCTGAAAGAGAGAAACCAGTTGGCCCTCAAGAGAGGCAGGCCGTGGCCCGCCCGTGTGGCTCAGTGGTTGAGCGTGGACCTATGAACCAGTCGGTCAGGGGTCCATTTCCGGTCAGAGCTCATGACCGGTTTTGGCTCGATCCCCAGCAAGGGGTGTGCAGGAGGCAGCCGATCAATGATTCTCTCTCACCATTGATGTTTCTCTCTCTCCCTCCCTTCCTCTCTGAAATCAACTAAAAAAAAAAAAAAGAGGCAGGCCGAGATAAAGGATACCTCAGAGCTGGAAGAGACTGGGGCAAGCGGCAAACGGTGGCGGTGATGGCGAGGGGAGGGGTGAGTCGGGCAGGGACGAAGCAAGCTCAGAAGGCAACGGGTCACGGTGAGGATGATGGGCCTGGCGGGCGAGAGTGGGATTTCCCTGGGGCAGGGGTCTTACCCGCCGCTGCAACCATCAGGAGGACCAACGCAACCAGGAACCGCATCCTGCAGACTGTACTTCCGCCGTCTGCTGCTCTCGCGAGATCGCGCACGGACGTCGTACTCATAGCCCCGCCCCTTCCTGCGCGCGTCTCCCGCCGCGCCGCCGCCTTCGAGGGGCGGGCCTGGGGGAAGGCCGGGAGGTGTGTTGCTTCCTCCCCGCTGTGCAGCTTTTCTCATAGGACGGGGCGGTCCCGAAGGAGGTGCGTCCACCTTTGCCTGATGTCTTTGCTCCGTGGCATCCGCCACCCGCCGTCACTCCCCGTTTCCTTCTTTCCCTCCGTGCTTCCGAGACCATGCAGGCTGAGCAGGAGCCCCTGGCCCGTGGACGGCCCCGCGGGAATGGCGCCGCCCGCCTCCTCCTCTGCTCGCCTTGGCAACGTCTCCCTTTCTCGTGGTTCTTGCCCGCGGCGCACGGACGCGCCTGCTCGGGTCTCTCCCACCCCAGCAGAGCCGCCCCGTCCCCAGCTCCAGGACACTGCCCGCAAGTCGCCAAAGGTCTTCCCTAAAGTGCCTCCTTTTCCTGACCATAAGAGCTCTTCGTGTAAACTGTAGAAAACGGAGCGATTGTGTAGAAGTAGAAAGCAAAATCTTTGCCCCACAATCCCGAGGTAATCACTGTTTGTGTTTTTGTTTTCTGTCTTGCAATGTGGGGAGCGAGCACGGCCATGGCATACTCATGCCAGCTCAGCCTGGTTCAATGACCCTGAGTGGGAGGGTGAAAGGATTGAGAAAGGACAGACAAGAGAATGAAAGCTGGGTCTCGGTAGGACGCTGCTTCTCTGACAGAGAGACAGCGCCGGCGCCCACAAGCCGTGTCTTTATTTTATAGCAGATGCCAGGAGGCAAAGTAGGGGCGTGATCAAGTTGTTCACAACATTCTCGTTGGTTTCAACCTTACTCAACTACATGCACCTGAACTGTATCACACAGGCACGTGTGGCCACGTGTTCGGACCATAGGTTCCAGCTTACAGCTATAGCTGTTGGCTATAATTGTGCTGGGAGGGCCCTGCCCTCCAAGCTGGGACTTGCACGTGGCAACGAGATGACTGTGCCCTCTCCTCAGTCCACAGCTTGAACCTGTCCAAAACACTGTAGCCACGCTCCGTATTGCAAACATTTAACAGTTTTTGATTAGGTAATACATTCTAATGACTCAAAACATCAAAATGGGATTTCTAAAAAATAGCATTCGCTAGAAAACTACACCTCCACAGGGTACCACTTACATTAATTGTTTCCATTTAGTGTGTGTTTTTAAAAAACCATAAATACAGCCCTAGCTGGTTTGGCTCAGTGGATAGAGTGTGGGCCTGCAGACAGAAGGGTCACAGATTCCATTTGGTTCAACCAGTTTGGCTGAGTTTGGCATCTTCCCCATGCACCAAAAGGTTGCCAATTCGATACCTGGTAGGGGGCATTGGGGAGGCAACTGATAGGTGTTTCTCTCATCAGTATTCCAACTCTCTATCCCTCTCCCTTTCTGTAAAAAATCAATTAAAATGTATTTTAAAACACACACACATAAATACAAATGTACTTATTTCCCCCTCCTTCTTAAATGTAATTTCTTGGTCTTTTTCCTATGCATATTCATTTTCTCCCAAATTATAATCATTGGGTAAATAGTGTTGTATCCCACTGTTTATCATAACTGTTACGTTTATACATTACTTGTTGCTTGAAATCATTTTATGAACATTGGCCAGGCTAGGTGCTTTGTAGACAGGCAGTGGTTTTTAAAAAAATGACAGGCCCTAACTTCATGGAACATGTAATCTAGAGGACTCACGAGTATTAATCAGATACGTACACAAATGAGTGTGTGTTCAAGGAAATAAAGTACAGAAACAACTCTGTTGAGAAAGACCTTTGAGTTGAGGACCAAAGTGTGTAGGCGTTTCCAGGTGAGGTGGAGGGAGGAGGAGGGGAAGCTTTTCTGGCTGATGTACAGGGTGTGCCGAGGCCTGGAGGCTGGTGGGAAGCGGACGTTTTGTGTAAATCTAAAGATGAGGATAGGATTGTCAGATAACAAAGAACAGAAAGAATGGCAGGGGAGAGTCAGGTTAAAGAGTAAATGACCTGGGAGTTGTCCAGAACATAAATATGGGACACAAAAGTGCATCAGAAAATATGCCAGTTAACTCGGACCGAAAGGGACCACAGCTGCCAGGGCAATAGCGCTCCTCTGCAGTCCGCTGAGTAAATAATAGGGTTACACTGCGTGCAGTTTTAGTTGTAATTCTGTACATGGCATAAGTATAGATTGTTGTTTAAAAACCCTTTAATAATGCTTCTCAACGTTTATCTGTTGTAAGGAAATCTCTCTTATATACACATGAGGATATATATGAGAATAAGGATCAGAGAGAAGCGAGAAATCTGTTACCGAATTACTTCAAAACCCTGACTCTGCTTTGGCAAAAGGAAGGGAATTGGTAAATGAATTTGTATCTAAAAGAAAATTCTCTCCAACTCCCCATAAATATTGGACTAATATTAAAGAATGGTGGTTTAGTAGGGGTATGTTCAGGGAAGGGAAAGGCAAATTATTAAGCCTGATCGTGTGTCCACATTACTAGGCAGGAAAGGAAAGAAGGGTCCAAATCCTACAGATTGTGAGCCATGCCCAGGTTTTATATTTAATCTTAATAGTAATGAGAAGCCATCAAAGAGGTTTAAATAGGAAAAAGATATAATCCTAGGTGGAAATGTTTTTTAAAAATTCTCACCCAAGGATATGTTTTTATTGATTTTAGAGAGACTGGAAGGGAAGGGGAGAGAGAGAAAGAGAGAAACATCTGAAACCTAAGTTATATGTCCTGACTGGGAATTAAACCTGCAACCCCTTGGTGTATGGGGTGGTGTTACAACCAACTGAGCCACCCAACCAGGGAGGGCTCCAAATTGGAAATTTTTTAAGATAAATCTGGGGTGGGGAGAGAAGAATAGATTTAGGTGTTAATGAATTAGGAGATGGTTACAGTAGTCCAAGTAGGATTAGCATAGATACAGTGAGAATGGCGAGAAATGGTAGGACTTAAATTTAGGAGCCCGTCTAATGTGGCTCAGTGGTTGAGCATCGACCTATGAACCAGAGGTCACGGTTCCATTTCCAGTCAGGACACATGCCCAGGTTTCGGGCTTGGTTCCCAGTACGGGGCGTGCAGGAGGCAGCCAATCAATGATTCTCATCATTGATGTTTCTAATCTCTCTCGCTCCCTCTCCCTTCCTCTCTGAAGTCAATAAAAATATATATTAAAAGAAAGATACATTTAGGAGTTAATAATATCAACAGGCCTTAGAAATGGATTGCATGTGGGGGGGAGGGGTGATGGTGAAGAAGGTGTGGTGCAATGATTTTCAACCTTTTTTGTAGCATGCATAAACTCATTAGTAAAATTCTGTGGCACACCAAAAAACATACCTTTTGCTGATCTGACAAAAAAAATAGTTATAATTTTGATTCATTCATATCAGATGGCTATTGTTGTGTTGGCTATTTTCATTTTTTAATTTTATTATTATTTAAAAAATATTTTTATTGATTTCAGAGAGGAAGGGAGAGGGATAGAGAGATAGAAACGTCAATGATGAGAATGATTGATTGGCTGCCTCCTGCACGCCCCCTACTGGGGATCAAGCACGCAACTCAGGCATGTACCCTTGACCGGAATCGAACCCGGGACTCCAAGGCCAGCGCTCTATTCACTGGGCCAAACCAGCCAGGACTCATTTTTTTTTTATTATTTGACAATCTAAGGGAAACGAGGTCAGCGTCCCTGATTAAATAGTCAGGTATTGCATGTTTTAAAAATTATCGTGGCACACCGGTTGAAAATCGCTGGTGTGCCCGGCCAGTGTTGTTCAGTGGTTGAGTGTCAACCTATGAACCAGGAGGTGGAGGTCAATTCCTGGTCAGGCACGTACCCCAGTTGTTGGCTCGATCCCCAGTAGGGGGTGTGCAGGGGGCAGCTAATCAGTGATTCTCATCATTAATGTTTCTATCTCTCCCTCTCCCTTCCTCTCTGAAACCAATAAAAAATACATTTAAAAAAAGAAAATAGCTGGTGTGGAGAATCAGATTTGAGAGGGATGGGGCACAGTAAATGAATTTGCTTTTTTTAAAAAAATATATTTTATTGGTTTTTTACAGAGAGGAAGGGAGAAGGATAGAGAGTTAGAAACATCGGTCAGCTGCCTCCTGCACACTCCCCACTGGGTATGTGCCCGCAACCAAGGTACATGCCCTTGACCGGAATCAAACCCGGGACCCTTGAGTCCGCAGGCCGACGCTCTATCCACTGAGCCAAACCAGTCAGGGCTGAATTTGCTTTTGGTCGTGTGTTGAGGATGCCTGTGAGAGTCAAGTGGAGATGCCAGGGAGGTAGTTGGAAATATGAACGTGGAGTTCAAAGGTAAAATATAGGAACTGTTTGCCTAACTAATTTAAATATTGTTAAAAATATTGATTGGTAATGGTTTCATAAAATGTAATTTATGAGTTTATCATCATTTTTGTGTGACAGTTCTCTTATTGGAGATCTGGATTATTTTCAGGTCGGTTTTTTTTCACTGTTAGTAACAGTTACTTATTATCAGGTACTGGTTAGGTGCATTTTAAGATGAGGCAGACCCTCAAAAAGATTAACCAACTGGCCAGGTAACTCAGTTGGTTAGAGCATTGTCCTAGAGCGTCCTGTGGATATGCCAAGGTTGTGGGTTTGATCTCTGGTCAGGGCGCACAAAAGAAGCAATCAGTGAATGCATAAATAAGTGAAACAACAAATCAATTTCTCTCTCTCTCTCCTCCCTCATTCCTCTCTTTCAAATCAATAATTTTTTAAAAAAATATTAAGTAAGTTGCTTAAGTTCATGCTATTTTATCTTATCTTTGAGAGGAGTGAGTATTCTTAATCTGCCAATTTGATAAGACAAAAATAGTCCCTGTTACTCTTTAATGTTTATTGGACAAGTAATTCACATGACTTTGTACAATTTACTTAAATGCTTTAAGTATTAACTTCTTTATTATTAAATGAAAATAAAAGTGTGGAGAATTGGATAATTCATATAGAGTACTTAACACAGTAGCATATAATTACAACTCTCAAAAGTTATTGTTTTATTTATTACACAAAAATTAAAAATAAAGATAAGCCAAAGTAAGACAATAAAAATATCCTGTAATCCAGAGCTATTACCATGAAAAATTTGTTGGATCTTATTTTATACACATCTATATGCTTATGATAGCTTATTAACTGAAAATTAAGTTATAAAACCATGTGTACAATTTTTTTAAAGATATATTTTATTGATTTTTTACAGAGAGGAAGAGAGAGGGATAGAGAGTTAGAAATATTGATGAGAGAGAAACATCGATCAGCTGCTTTCTGCACACCTCCTACTGGGGATGTGCCCGCAACCAAGGTACATGCCCTTGACCGGAATTGAACCCGGGACCTTTCAGTCCGCAGGCCGATGCTCTATCCACTGAGCCAAACCAGTTAGGGCCCATGTATACAATATTTAAAAAATATTTTATCGATTTTTACAGAGAGGGAGAGGGATAGAGAGTTAGAAACATCGATGAGAGAGAAAGATGGATCAGCTTCCTCCTGCACGCCCCCTGCTGGGGATTGAGCCTGCAACCAAGGTACATGCCCTTGACCAGAATTGAACCCAGAACCCTTCAGTCTGCAGGCCGACGCTCTATCCACTGAGCCAAACCATTTAGGGCCATATGTACAATTTTTATCTTGCAGGCTTTTTTGTAGCGTTAGTGCTACAACTAGTCATGTCACTTGTCTTCTGGGACACTATCATCTTGTCTCCAGTTTCTTTATTCATCATCCTTTGAGGGATCCCAGTTGTTATAGAACTGAATGTTTCTAGAAGGAAAGTGAAATCAAATGCAGCAGAGTTGAAGGAAGATAAGGACTTAGAATTACACATTTCAGGGGAGTGGTGAGAGCAGAACCTCGTGGCAGTTGGGTTAGTGAATGGGAGGTATGTAGAAAGTACCTTTTCTGGGAATTTGCATGTGAAACATGGTTTCTAATATGGGAAAGGATTGAACATTTTTGTTGACTGAGGGGTAGATCTAATGACAGAGTGACCAAGTTTACAAGACAGATATGACTGGTAGAACAAGGTACCAAGAGTTGAAGGGCTGGGGTCTAGGGGACAGTAGAGCAGTTGACTTTGGGTTGAACCAGGGGTTGACCTTGAGGCCTATGGAAGGGCAGAATGTTGAGAGAGTGGATGGATATTTAGGTAGGGACATGGGAGATCAAAATAGAACATTTCAACTGGCCTCCATCTAATTTAACTTTTAAAATATATTTTTATTGATTTCAGAGAATAAGGGAGAGATAGAAACATCAATGATGAGAATTATTGATTGGCTGCCTCCTGAACACCCCAAACTGGGGATAGAGCCCACAACCTGGGCATGTGTCCTGACTGGGAATTGAACCATGACCTCCTGGTTCCTAGGTCAGTGCTCAACCACTGAACCACACTGGCCGGGCTGGTTTGTTTTTAGATGTTGCTCTTGTAAACAGTGCTGCGGCAAACACTTGTTTTTCATGTCTTCTGGTCTGCTGATGCATGCGACAGTTTCTCCAGTGTAAATGCTTTGCTTTCTTGGCATCTTTCTCCATACGCCTCTCACCTCACCAACAGTGTTCTTGTACTGTTTGTTCTGCAACACAGGATATTGCCCGTGGCCGCCCTCCTCCAGACTCCTGAGGGAAGCTCCTAAAAGAAGTATTTTTCATTTGTGAAAAGCTGTTCTTGGCTACAGCATAGGTGATCCACAAGAGAATCCATGGTGTTGCAAAATATGCATTATGATTTAGGTGAAGTAAGCCAGACACAAAAGGACAAATATTATATTAATCTATTTATTAAACATGTAATCCTAAGTCCTTATCTTACTTCAACTCTGTGCTGTACCTAGAATAGGCAAATCTATAATTTAGAACGTAGCTTAAAAGTTCTTGAGGTCTGGTGGGAGAAGGGAATGGGGAGTTATTACTTAGTGGATACAGAGTTGCTGTTTGGGAGATGAGATAGTTCTGGAAGTCAGTAGTGCTTATGGTTGCATATTATAAATGTACTTAATACCACTAAATTGTTCACTTAAAAATAGTTAAAATAGTGAATTTTATATTGTATGTATTTTACCACAATTTTAAAAAGTTATATATATCCAAGAAGAGTAAAAAACCTGGCAAGTACTCATAAAAGGAGAAGGAAGACTAAATTATTTTATGAAGGCTTAAAATAAAAAGAAATTCTGATACGTGCAGCAATATGGATGAACCTTGAAAACATTATGCTAAGTTATATAAGCCAGGCCCAAAAGGACAAATGTTTTTATTCCAATTATATGAAATATTCAGAGTAGGCAGATTCATAGAAACAAAGTAGATTAGAGGTACCAGAGTTTGGGGGGAGGAGGAATGAGTTGGGATGATAAAAAGTTTTGGAAATAGTTTGTAGTGATGGTTGCACAACTTTATGAATATAATGCTCCTGAACTGTATACTTAAAATGGTTAAAATGGCAAATTTTGTTATATATAATGACCCTAATTTTAAAAAATGAAGTACTGATACATACTACACAAAATGGGTGAACATGAAATATGCTGAAAGGACTCAGTGAGAAAGAACCGTGTATTATATTATTCTACTTAATGTAATGTCTGTAATAGCCAAATCCAGAGACAGGAATAGATCAGTGGTTGCCTGGGGCTGAAGGAAACAAGAGGGTGACGTACACAGGGTATGTATGGGGTTTCTTTTAGAGGTGATGCAAATGTTGGGAACACAACTAAAAACCAATTTATATACTTTAAACGGGTAAATCACATGTTATAGGAATTATCTACACTAATAAAAGAGAAACATGGTAATTGGCGTACGACCGCTACCCTTTTCATTGGCTAATCAGTGAGTATATGCAAATTAACTGTCAGCCAAGATGGCGGCCGGCAGCCAGGCACTGAAGCGAGCACGAGGCTTGCTTGCTGCAGACTCCAACGTTCCCCGCCTAACTTGCCAGCCTCTCAGTTGCAACTCTAAGCAACTATATACTATGTTGCAAATAAGAAGCTAAACAAAACCCCAGAAAAGGGCTTCCATTCAGCCGGGCTCGGACCACAACATTGTATCTATGTTTTCAGCAGCGAGGCCTCAGAGCTAAAGCTGGCCCAGAAAAAAAAAAAAAAAA